GTACTGGTGCATGGGTGGTTTTTCCCCAGCTGAAGGAATTTGCACTCCTCCTTGTTGAACTTCATGAGGCTCCTTTCAGCCCATTTCTCCCGCCTGTTTAAGTTTGCGGCATATCAGCTACTTATACCAGTTTTATCTTATAAATGAACTTTGAGGCTATACTTTGCCCCGCCATTCAGATCACTGATGACAATGTTTGGTATACTGCTAGTCACTGGCCTTATATTCATTGGGATAGTGCTCTCTTGAGCTGGAAGGAGGTGATCCTTGAACATTATTCAGCTTTCTTGCTTCCATCTTCCTTTGAGGGCCTTATCCTATGCAACTCTTTTGAACAGATCTTTGAGAAGACCAGAGCCTGCTTTCTTGAAGTCCAGGGTTCTGGAGTTGTTTTTCCTCTTCCTTCCTGCCCCTAGGATCCTGAACGCCAGCATCTCAAGATCACAGCAGCCAAGGGTGTCTTTGATCTTCTCATCCCCAATGAGCCCCTCCTTGATGAGTAGGAGGTCCAGCAAAGCACCTCTCTCACTGGCTCCTTTATCACTTGTGTCAGGAAGTTACCATCAATGCACTCCAGGAAACTCCTGCTCTGCTTTTATATCTCTGCCTTGTCCCTCCAGCTGAGATTGGCATGGTGGAAGTGCCCCATGAGGACTTGGATGTTCTCATATCTGTAGGGGGCATGCTCCAGTTGTTTTTCCACTATAGTGTCACCTTTAATCCTAACTCATAAATTCCCATTTGGATCCTCTTCCATCTCCAGGCAGAGCTCCATAAAGGGTGCCTCTTCCTCCTTGTTTTTCCTTCCTGTCCTCCCTAACTTCCTGTATCCCTGTACTGCAATACTTCAGTCATGGGAGCCATCCCACTATGCCTCTCATCCCAATCAGACTGTAGCCCTGGAACTGCATACAGATCTCCAAGTCGTCATGTCTATTCCCTGTACTGAGTGCATTAGTATACAGGCACTTGAGGGGTACCTCAGCATGTCGTATTCATGACAGCATAAGTAAGATGTGTGAAAATTTGTGTGAGGCTCAGGAAGATATCCAGTGGTGACAGCTGAAAAGAGGATTGCAGTGGAAGTCATCAAACTCCAACCCCTGGTATTCTGCTGTCAGTTTTCTTCCCTCGCCACACTAACAGAAAAGATGTATTTTTGTTATGCTTCTGGCCAATGTGGATTATCTTGAATTCTTTATTGCTGTCACTGCTGGGTGGTGTGACATGTGAACTATGTTATTTTTCTCAGGTTTTTTGCGGACAGACCTGTGCCAGTAGATGAGATTTATTTTTAGGACTAAATTAATATATTTGATATTCCCCTGATGCTTTTAGCTTAAAAAGTAATTAATTGGCTATTCAAGCATCTGCTAGTACCTAAGCAGCTGTTGTATGACAATAGAATAAACTGATCAGGTCTGTACTCCTTTAACTATGATTGTGTTGGAGACCCACGTAGCTGGGGCAAAGAGTGCACAGAAAGGAAGATGTTTTATTGTTTTTATGTATTTGGTAGAGCTGTATAGTGAGTTGAGAAGATCAGCCAGGAAGAGGAGGCGTTGGGTTAGGGTAGACAAGAATAGCTCGATGAAAACATGACAAGGTTAGATCTTCCTGTTAGAAAGAGCAGCTCTTGAATACTTAGGCCAAAGTTACAGCAGAATTTGCCTGATGTGTTTGTTTTGTTGATTTTGGTGGGTTTTTTTGTTTGATTTTTTATTTTTGTCTTTTTGTAATGCCTCCTTTTGAGAGAAATGTCTTCTCTAGCTTTGTCTCTCACAGAGTTCTTGTGTGTTCTGATTTTTCTCCTATGTCAGAAAAAGAAAATTGTCCTTCAGCAAAAGGGGAGATGCAGATACTTTTGCAGAAAATCCATTTTATCAAGTTTTATGTGTGCCTTACCTGGACTACAGTAAGGTTTCCCATAGTAACTTAGAACACTTATATAGCACTCCTGACTTCTTTGTGGCTTTGATTGAAGTTTTTAGTCTCAGTTCTGTACTGTATCAGGTTCCTAAGACAGTAGCATGTTTGAGCAGCTTTTTTTCTAATACTCCTTGCAGTGGCTTCTAGAGCAAATCTTTTGTCTCAACCATTTCAGGAGCAATGCTAGAGTGTATGCTTCTGGCTGTACAGTAATTTCTGCAACTGTGTGTAGTAAGCGACACCTGTCTAATTGCTGAATTCTTTGCAATTAATGTCATTTAGTAGCAAAAGAAATTCCCAAGGCTGATGAACACGTAGGTTGAAGAAAAAGCAGTGATCTTTCTCATTAAGAAAAGTGGTACCAAGTATCATCAGTTTGAAGATAGGGGCTTGTAGTGTTGAGGATGAAAAGGAACAAAGACTATTAATGAAATTATTTATGGGCTATCAAAAAGAGGTCTAGGCATGGGTCTCTGGAGACACATGCTTTGGATTTGTGACCAAAATAGTGTTGATAAACACAATGTTTTAGCTGTTGCGGCAAGTGCTTGCACAGCATGAAGGCGTTTCTGTTTCCCAGTCTGTCCCCCACAGAGACAAAAGGTTGGGAGGGGACACAGCTGGCACAGCTGACCTGTGGTGACCAGACAGATGTTTCATACCATGTAATGTCTTGCTCAGCAATGAAACTGGTGGGTTGTTTTCCCCTAAAGTAGCTGTTGCCTATGGACTGGCAGGACATCTGTCTCCTGGTGGTGAGTTTGGTTGGGTTGTTTGTTTTTGCCTTTCATCACTTTTTTCCTTCTGATTGCCTTTCCTCCATTCCACTGCAGGGGAGTGAGCAAGCAACTGGGTTGGGGCTTGCCTGCCAGCAGGATCAACACACCACACTTGATATATATGAATTAAGGTTATGTTTGTAGAAACCTGCTGTTCTACAGTCTTAAAAGATCAGGTGACTTTGGGTTTCGCTATCACATTAAAAAGGAAATATAGCACATAATATTCCAGAGGTTATCTTTGAAATCAGTATTTGCTAGCTGATTTATATTAAAAATGGACATTATTTTAGTGCTGGAATATGGCAATTTTGAAGAAAACAGCTGAAGAAACGAGTAATATGTGGGGAAAAGAGAAGGGAGGATACCAGTTTTTTGAAGTTCGCAGAAAGTCATTCTTTGTTAATTAGGAAAACTTTTTCCTATTTGAAAGGCAAAAGTCCACCTAGTTTTACTTTTAGGGAAGCCTTGAATTTTGAAAGCATTTGTTTGAAGGTAAATAATGTTTCTTGAAGAAACAGATCAAATTGCTTTAATGTTGATTCCTAAAGGAGGGGGTTTCTTGAGTATGTAACTTCATATATGAATTCAAGAATTGCACATATGCCCTGAAGTACTTAATACAGACACCCTAAAAAAAAAAACAACAGAGTTTGAATGGAAAACTACAAATGTAAGAAAATAATTGGAACCCTGATGTGCTACTTTACAGTAAATTGGGTTAAAGTTTCAAGTCTTTGTGCAAGTTTTCTTTAAGGGAATCTGAATGTTATGTGTTGTCCTGTGTCTAGTTGTGTTGGATCCTGGTAAAAGTCATTCTTGTTGGATTTCCTACCTTTGTCATCAGGCCAAGTTTATAGGTTTTCTGTTTTGTTTCTGTTTTTGTGGCAGTGGGGTGTTGGGACAATTTCAGTGTCTTAGTAGCTGAGTAACTTTTTACATGCATGTAAATTCTTGTTAACCAAAGCAGGTAGTCATGCTGGCCAGGACTTTGAGAATTACACAGCATGCATAACAATTGACATGTTCAGAGCTTGTCTTTTGACTGATAATGTTCCATGTTTTAATGAGGATTTCTTTGAACACTAGGAGGGTGTCTCCATTCATTTTCTTAAAAACAAACAAAAAATTGTAGCATTTGCAAATAATATTCCTTAAAAGGTTATGTTGATGATTGTATCTCTGTGGGTGTCAGTAGTATTGTTTGCTAATGTGGTAGAATTAGTCACTCCATTTTCCTCTGGTAATGACCTAGTCCTTTATAATCATTTCTCTGTAGCTCTAGTCACTTTGTGTTGTGCTGTAAGAAGATACCAACTGATCTGAAGTTATTTGTGTCATACCACTAGTGCTGGGACATCTGATGAGGTGGAGTTCCTGAGATAATTTTCCAATTTTCTTTATCTCTTTTGGCCAGTTTTAGACATTAATCTGGTCAGGATTTTTTGTTATGTTTAGTTCTTTCCTCCAATGTCTCAGAGCATTTCTTAGGTTAGGATGGTTACTAGTTACAGTGATCTAAATATCTGCCAGACAAGTGAGTGCTTAACATAGGTGAAGTGACATTTGCTTATTCAGAAACAAATGCAGCCTCTTTTTTGACTTGCTTTCCCCTGTTTAGAACAAAGAATTGTCTTGAGATCAGGTTTGGGGATTTGAGTACAAGGCTGAGACAGAGGAGTATTTCATGCTATTATTGTTAGTGAGACCCTTAATTACTCATGTTGTTGATTTACTCACCTTTGATGCCTATACTAAATATTTCACATATAATTATCAAACGTATTTTAAGACTGGTAGTGATTTGTAGCAGTTGTATAATAAAACAGATGTTAGGAGTGAATGAATAGCAGTTTTCACTGAAAGTTGTATTAACTAATGAGTAAACAGGAGGACTATTTTATGGGACTATTTTTTATTGTCTAGACATTTTTGTCTTAAATTTCTATGGTGTATATGTAGATGCATATATGATGGATGTAGCTGCATTACCAATAAAAAAGTTTTCTTAATTGTTTCTTGGCACTGTCAGTTGCTTTTTGTAATTTAAAAAAATAAAATTGTCATCTAAGGTATGTAGTAAAGTTTTATAATTTGGGGGTTTTATATAGACCTGTGGTTATTTTTTTGTGCTGTTAGGTTTAACTTTTGGTGGATCTTCATCTTGAAGGATTGATACTCATTAGCCATGGATTCAGACATAGTAACAACTACTGAACATATTATAAATGGATGTTAATGTAAAATACCTTGTTTTAATTAAAATTCAAAATTTGCTTTTTGTTTTGACAGCAAACACATATCTCTTCATGGTGCAAGCTCGTGGTATAATGTTGAGAGAAAATGTAAAAACAATAGGACACATGATCAGATTGTACACTAACAAAAATACTACACTGAATGGCACAGGTAAGAATATTTCTTCTTTAATTTTTAAAGGAGCTTTATGCAGGGGAAAAAAAAAGCCAAACCTTTGGGGCATGTCTTCATTATGAAAAGCTAGACCCAAGTCCTACCTTTGTGTAATAGAAGTGAAGGTCAAATAGTTACTGTTTATCAATTCACTTTAGTAGGAAATATTTGTCATAGTTGTAGCAAAGCTATCTTGGCTTAATTGTTGTACCTTTAGTGCAGTCATTTTTTGTTTAGTTCTTTTTTCTTTTCTTTTTTTTTTTTTTTTCTTAATGGTGCTGCTAGGAATGTTCTTACCTTCATGATGATATGTTACAAATTCAGTGGTAACATAGTTTCTTACAAAAATCAATTCCTCTTTTTAAGACTATCCTGAAGGAAACAATTCTAGTGACTGTGTTGCTCAAACAACAATGTATCTTCCAGAAAACTTCACTTACTCTCCTTACCAGGCTTGTCCAGAGAAGCTGCCTTACATGAGTAAGTTTTAAACTCACCTTAATGTTTATCCAGTTAATTGGATTGTACTAAAACAAAGTACAATTGTTTTAATATAAAATATCAATGTGGGGAGTTACAATATATAGCAGAAAAGAATGAATAAAATATATCTGAGAATGGACAACAATGCTTAGCAGAATTTTGCATATAACCATTGCATTACTAAAGCTTTTGGCCTCTTTGCTAATATCCTAGTATGTTTTAAATTTTATTTGCAAATTATTTTACTGTCTACAAATTGATTATTAAATCACTTAATTAATATGTAGGAATAGTCTAACTTTATTAAAAGTACCCATTCAGAGTTGCATATTTTGAGGAATAGTTAAAAATTTCTGTATTGGAAATGGTAGTCCTAATAGAGCAATTGATTAATTAGAAACGAGTTCTCAAAACTTCATCAGCTAATCAGTATGTGGAATCAATACATGCAAAACTGAACAAGATGGTGCAGTGAAGTGAGAAGTGATAAGAGGCAAAAAAGTGCCAAAGCCTTGTCATAATGAATAAGTAGTACTTACATAACAATTGGAAAGATGTGATTCTCAGGAATTTTTAAAATTAAGCTTTTGAAATCAGACGCTTAAGATCTTAAGCTATTAAATGGAACTTGTTTAAGTAACTCTAATTTTATTTGTGTTTAAGCCTAGAATCTAAACTTCTAGTTGTTTTGTTTGAAAGTTTAGTTGCAGCAGTGTCATGCAGAAATAAGAGACTGAATACTTTGGCACCACTGTTGTTTTGGTTTCCTGGGTTTTTATAAAACCTGTAATATTAGAGTTGTACTAGTAGCAGTATTATGCCAGTGTATGTAGAAGGCCTTATAAGCAGGTATTGCACAGTTACAACAGTTACATGAATTGAGATGGGAAGAGTTCCTTTATGCGAATCAGTGTCCTAAACCGGATTTAATAATATGGCTGAAATGGTGTTGGCATGGGGCTTTTTTATCTTCTTCCTGTAGACAAAGTTTGACTTTCAAAATTATGTGGTTGTTCCTTCCCATATATTCCTTATGTAAAAAAATAAAAACTAATTATTCCAATAGTAAATATTTTAGCTATGTTGGGTAACATAAAAGGTTCGAAAAATGTCTACTCTGGATAACCAGAGAAACAAGAATTATGGTTATGATGACTGAAAAATTAATATAAATCAGTATTTTTAATGAAACTTTCAAGGGCTGAATTCTGCCAGATTAGTTCAAAACTGTGTTGGCTTCTGCTGCCTTTTTTACTTGTGTATTAGACTGCTGTCCAAGAGTGATGAGGCAAGTTAGAAGGTACTAAGGTACATTAGTAGGTCAGACCTACTTATAGCACACTAAGGTACCTTAGTAGGTCAGCCCACTTATCGCATGTTATCTTAAATCATTGATGCAGTTTAGAATTGCTAGAGTAGGGATGCATTCTACTCTGTCATCCTTGCTATCAACCACTTTGGCTATATGTAATTATACCAGAATTTGTCTATAGGTCTCCATATTGCTGATGTCTCTATATATATTTTTCTTTTTCTTAATAATGTCCTGTATTTATTCTCTTCTGCTTAATCTAATAGAAACATTGTAATTTTAATAGAAAATAATTGAGGAGTTACTGTTCTGCAAAGAAATGTATGTCTCACCCTTTGATTTTCATGCATACTTTTTTAATTGTCTGTTTAATTATAATCTAAATAAAGCTTCTCTGAAGGTTATTTAATGCAATGTAGTATTGTAGGTTATTGTGAGATAGCAAGGAAAGAAAGCTTTTTGAATTATGTATATTTTGACCTGCTTAATAGCTTAAAATTGTTACAGAAGTCAAATATTCTTCTTAACATCAACTTGATGAATTTGTATCATGAAAGGAGTATGGTAAAACTGTGTTTTGTCCCAAATATATGCGCTCTTAAAATAGGACCAACTAGTGCTAGCACTTTTATTAGTGACTCAGTATTTCAGTTTATAACTTACAGGTTGAGTACTGCTGTGCTAGTTCATAAGCAAGACAACCGTACTTCAAGAGAGAAGCAATACAAAGCAACTTTAATCAACATGATTTTAATACTGACTAGAGAGGTAAATGGAAAGCAGATTAGTTTTTCAGTATATGAATTAAAACCTATTAAATTAAATTCTGTTAAGAATTTTTATGCGTTCATGGTTTGTCTAACAACCAGCTCTTAATGAGCTATAATAAATATAATATCTAGCTATTTTACTTTGATCACTTCAGTACACTGAGGTTGAATATCCCTAAACCATTTTAGATAGATATTAGAAGAATCTATTTTGTATTTAAAAAATAATAAGTCATCAGTGGTGGAAGTTCTGCTGTCTCCAGAAGTAGTATATTCTACTCTTCTGTTCACTGAATAGTTAAGCTTTTTGCAATACTCAACCTGCATTTACTTTTTTCTCTTTTTCCCCTCCTGAAAGAAAATAGGTCTTCTTGATGCTTGGAAAAAGTTGATCGCCATCTATGTACCAGATTATTCTGTCTTGAAAAGACTTGTGTTTTTGCCAGCCTTTTCCGTTGCAGATAAGCCAGTAATTTCAGCCTTTCTAGACTACATAGTTTCTAAAGCTCATGTCATTCTTAATTTTTGTATTGTAGACTTTCTCTAATTGGATTTCCTTTTGAAACATCATAACTGGCTAAAACCCTGGTTACAAAACAGGCTAGTAATTACCTTCTCTGGTTTTCATGTAACAGCAGTTAATGTATTCCAGAATGAGATTTGCCATTTTGTGCAATTGCATTACAGTTTGTCTCATATTAATAGACAATCCATTATAAACTGTCAAAATATCTTTCTGCATACTGCAGCATAACCAGGTATTTCCTGGTTTGTGTGTGCGTATGCTTCATTTTTCCTTCAGTAAAAATACATATTTGTTTAACAATTAATTTCATTTTGGGTTTCAGCATGTATCTGATTTGTGGAAATTACTTGGTTTTCTGATTCTGTTCTTCAAAATCATTCTGCTTCCTCAGCTTTCCTTTTTTGTCGATTGCATAAATAGGCTTTACTGCATCACGCTAGATAGTGATGCAAGTAGTGAATACTAAGCCCAGATATTTACTGAGATGCCTTCTTTCCCTGCCAGTGACAGAGAAATACTTCTGGTTTCTGTTCACCCATTTCCTGTCTACTTTTGATAGTACCAATTTTTAATTTTACTACAGGTAATTTTTGAACAGTCTGGAGGGAATTTCATCATGTCCCATAAACTTAGAAGCACCTGCCTTATATAAATACTGTTTTACCTGTCCTCCAGTTTTGTTGGGGATTTTTTTGTTTGTTTGGTTTTTAATTTAAACTCTGTAAGCATCTGATTGCATCTAAACTTTTCTTGGGAGACTAAGGCACCTGAGTCCTTTGCATCATGTGTTATTTGCTTCCTTTTCTGGTCTTTGACCTTCATTCGCCTTTATTTTCCTGTTAGATTCTATAAACTGAAAGGCTCTTGTTGCTTCTCTGTCTCTTGGTAGTTGAAATTGATTGGTGATCTGTTTACTTTTTGAAATTTAATTTGTACATGTTTATAAACTTGTCCTTTGTTGATTGCCCTTATTTCTACTTTTTGTAACATTTCTTTTTCAGGTTATTGAACAGTTTCAAATACAACCATAATGCTAATCCAAGCTTGCTTATTTATTTATCTGCTCTGTAGGATTAGCTTGTTCTGGTATATATTCATAATCTTTTTTTTTCAGCAACTGTCAAGTTTCCTTTTTCTTCCAAAGTAAATAAATGAATGTGAGTGTTCAAATCTGTTCTTAGAAGATATTCTCCTTATTGTGCTGTTCTTGATCCTTTTTTTTTTTTATATAATTTTTCTTTTCTTTTTTTATAGTTACTTCCTACATTTAATCAGATCCCAAACTAAAATAGATTTTTCAGTATTTCTGCCTTCTGGAAATGATAGTTATTCCTAATATACTCCAAATATGTCAATATTTCCAAAAGATTTAGAGAGCTAGTCAGTTTGTTGTTACAACATGAAGCAGCCTTTGGACACAAATAGGATCTTTTGGGTGCAGGCACAGGGGAGAAAAGTGGAATAATTTCTTTCACTGACTTTAAAATTCCAACCCTTCCTGAAAAACTTAAATTTTTAGACAAAAATAAGCACAATATTTTATGATGTGTCAGATAACTATTGCAAGTTTTTTATATGATGATCTAGCATCGTAGTTGCTGAAGAGCAACTTGAGTTTCTGGTTGATTAGTGTCACTCTACTCTTTCCCTCAAATTTTCATGATTCCTTCTGCTTTGGAGGGTGTTTACTATGAATCATCTTTTCTGGTTTTGAAATTTATACACATGTATAAGCAAACGAGCACCAACTCTTAGCTATCAGCTAAGTATTTTCTGATAAGTAATAACCTGATTATTTTTGCTACCATATTCAGGTCATTATTCAACGTATTACTGAATTCTAATGTCATCAGTAACCATTTGAAAATGCTTTTTCCATTGGGCTGATTAACTCTATCAGTGGTAATTCTCAAATAGAAGCCACTTGATGTAAGTTGGTTTGATGCAGATAGTGGTGAATTAGTGGATGAAGGCTGCACATACAATGTGTGTAATTATTTAGAATTTAAACTGAGGAAGTTTGTTGAGTGCAGTGATGATGCATTTTCTTTTTTTTTGTGGAAGTGCAGGTAGGAAGACACCAAGGATTTCATCATTAGTTCAGTAGTGCAGAGGATGTGGAATTGTTAACAGTGGTAGTAGATACAGAATTCAAATTACTTTTCATGTTCTGTGTCCTGTGAAAGGAGTATTTTGCTAGTAAGGTTTATTGAAAGAACGTTTATATTGGGAAATACTGAAATTCATTCTGTAAAACCTGAATATTAAGAGGATAGTAGAAATAGTTTCAATTTTTATCTGTAGGTAATGTAACTACAAATTTCTTGTGCTTTTATCTGTGATAAACCTTGTAGTGTTAGATCTGATGTCTTAATTTAAATTGGTTTTTTTTTTTCCTTAGGAGGCCTTATAGATGTCAATATGAGTGAAATTAGTTTTGATGAAATTCAGCAACTGTTTTCAAAAGATTTAGACATTAAACCAGGAGGGCATTGGAAACCAAAAGACTGTAAGCCAAGATGGAAGGTGAGATGCTGTTGGGTTATTTTTGTGATTTTTTTTTTCTTTTTCTGTTGGTGTATAAGAATAGTTTACCATTGCAAGCACTCAGTCTTCTACTTCTATGTATTTTAAACAATATGTTGTATATGTATTATGCTATCTGTGCTCAAGAGACTAAAACTTGAAGAAAACTTCAAATGGATTGTCAAGAGCTTCTAAAGTTTCATTAACTGTTGTTGGTAAACATATTATCATATGGATGCAAACTTGTCCCGTGTGTCTGCTGCTTAAAGTATAATTAAAAGCAAGTGAACATAAACCGGAAGTCTTATTTATATTCTACTCAGATTTTTTTAACTGTTTGAGCAAAATTCCAACATGCTTTCCTACCAGGAATGAAATTTTAAAACACAGACGATTTAAATGTAAAAGTTGAAACGCCTGTGTTTGCCATGGGAAACTTGATCTGTGTTGAAACATTGAAATTTAGAAATGTTAATACAATAGCTAAATATATATCTAATTTTTTGAAGGTGGCAATCCTTATTCCTTTTCGGAATCGCCATGAGCATCTTCCAATTTTTTTCCGTCACCTGATACCTATGTTGCAGAAGCAGCGGCTGGAGTTTGCCTTCTATGTTGTTGAACAGGTAACAGCATTTTCTTGGAAAGTTACTTTTGAAGATTCCCTGCTAAAGGAGATTTGGTATTTTTAATAAGGTTTGGATGAATCCAGTATTTAAAAATTACTGCTGTTCTAATCCTTTGAATGAAAAAGGAAAGTTCAGCTCCATTCCTCAGTTTAAGCAATGGCCAGACACATATTGCTTTTCTTCAAATATGGGCTGATATTTCATAGCTGATAACATGTCCTCTTTGAATCTATTGTGTTTGTATGTATACAAGGACAAAAAGATGGGTCTGCATCTGACTAGCCACGGGTCAATAATGGTGTTCTTCAGTGCTCAATTAGAGGGCCAGTTCTTTTCAGCATATTTATCAACAATCTGGATGCAGGAGTTGAATGCAACATTAGCAGATTTGCTGATGATAACAAACTGGGAGGTGCTATTGTCTCTCTAGGGGTGGAATGCCTTGCAGAGGGATCTAGGTAGGTTGGAGCATTGGACAATGATTAATTTAACACATCAAAAGGCTGGATTCTGCACCTAGGATGGATTAAAGCTGGGCACAAGTATAAACTGGGAAAAGAGTGGCTGGAGAGCAGTGATGCAGAAAGGGACCTGAGCCTGCTCATCAGCAGCAGGCTCAGTGTGAGTCAGCAGTGTGCCCTGGCTGCCAGGAGGTCAAACCACACCCTGGAGTGTGTGGAAACACAGCAGATCTAGTCAGTCAAATGAGATGATTATCCCACTGTATTCAGCATTGTTGTGGCCTCCCCTTGAGGACTCTGTACAGTTCTGGGCCCCACAGTTCACGAAGGATGTGAAAGTCCTTGAATGCCTCCAGAGGAGGAAAGTAACAAAGCTGGGGACAGGGCTGGAAGCATGTCCTGTGAGGAGCGGCTAAGGACTCTGGGCTTGTCTAGCTTGGAGAAAAGGAGGTTGAGGGGTGGCTTCATTGCTCTCTATAGCTTCCTGAGGAGGAGAAGGGAGGTGCTGATCTCTTCTCTCTGGGATCCAGTGACAGGACACATGGGAATGGCTGAAAGGTGATAGCAGCTTATTTCCAACTGAGATAGCCTATTCTATTCTAGTTGATTTTTTCAACAAGAAACAAAGTGTAGTGTTTCTTTCTTAGTTCATATCACTATTTCTTTAACTTGTAATTTCATGCTATTTTTATCCAAACCACCCATGTTTTGATACTTCAGAGTTACTAGTGCTATAAGTTGCTAGCGCTGTTATGTTTTGTGTAAAAGGGGAGAACAATGCAGTTGATGTATTTGGTTCTAGCCAGGGCTATTTCTCTGCTTAGCTAGAGGAATAACAGCTATCTTTGTCAATGTTTGGTTTTTTTTTTGTGTGTGTATGTGTTGTAGAGAATTTATTTCTCATAGTATTGAAATTTTGTCTATTTCTTCTTGATTCTTGCAATGTCTCCTTTGTTTTCTGTTTGAAGACAGGTACGCAACCTTTTAACCGTGCAATGCTGTTTAATGTTGGCTTCAAAGAGGCTATGAAAGATGCTGTCTGGGACTGCATAATATTTCACGATGTGGATCACTTACCTGAAAATGACCGAAATTATTATGGATGTGGAGAAATGCCACGCCATTTTGCAGCAAAGCTGGACAAATACATGTACATGTAAGTAATTAGCTTTATTCTTGTTTTTTAAAGACCCAGAAACATTCTTAAAGTGTGTATGAATTTTGTGACAGTATATGCAGTGGGTGAAACCAATAAAACAGCCTCCTACTACATATATATATATATGTAGTTATTAAAGGAATATTTAAGTTTAGCATCTACATTTGATATGTTGTTAATTTTAAGATATTTATTATTTTCAGTGTTAAACTTGTTGCAGTGAGGTTGACTGTATTCAAGTCCATGTATGTCAAAGGGGAAAAACTTAACTTGCTTATTAGGAATCTTCCCTGTCAACACGAGTTTTTCAGTGTTTGTTAACAAAAATGAGATAATATTCAGCAAAATATTACAGGAAAAATGTCTTAATTTCCTTATGAATATACAAGTTATTTCTGCTTTATACTGGTTTTTAAATGGGAGATTTTCTTACTGCTAGGACACTTAATATTTTGTATTTAGTCCTGTTGTAATTTGATGAATATAGTTGGTCCAGCTGTTTTGTTATTTTTCTACACTTCTGCCATTTATTAATGATGTTCCACTTGCTTTTTAACACTCTGCTATCTCATGACACTCTTCCAGTCACTTCATATAAAGCTGTAGCTTATTGCTTGTTAGATGTATGTATTTGCCATCCTGAAAATTTATTTGTTTTTTTTATTTTATTTTATTTATCAACTTGGGAACTTGGTCAACCTGACAGATCAAAAGCAATGCACTGAAAACATGACAGTGTTTGGTCTTCAGTTTATCAGTCAATTGGCAGTCAAACCTGTAAAGATTTTATACATATTGAAAAATATCTAAATTAAACATTAAAAATGTATTTACATAATAACTTATGTATTGATATATAAATTTCTAAAATTTATAAAATGTCAAAATAAAGTTTTACAAAATGTGTTTATGAAAATAAATGTATGCAGTAATGCATTTTTCTTAAATATAAAAACAAATACATATTTATGTATATATACAAAAAGTGCTTGTGCAACACACACACACATACATATATACATACATATGAATATAAAGCTCAAACAGTTCCATTAACTGTCATACTTTGGTTGTTTTTATTTTTGGTTGATGGGTTGGTTTTGGATTGTTGATGGGTTTTTTTGTTGGTTGGGACCTTTTGGGAGGGGGGTGTATGTTTTGGTTTTAGGGAGTGGGGTGTCTCAGATTTTAGAGCACCTGCTATTTTATTTGAGTAGGGATACCCATAGTAACAATCTTCCCTGAAAACTGTTAAGATTTGATTGAATCCTGTGTTTCCACAGAAGTCAGAAATTACATGACTGTGTATTTCTTTTTCTTTCCCCTTGCATTCTGGAGTTATTTGTCCTTCAGTGTGGCAATTGTGTCCTAAGCAATGGTAAATCTTTTTGTAGATAGTCCTAACTTCTTGAAGGTTCCAGGTTTGGAAGTGTCTCCTGAGAAATATGTTTGATTACTTTTATTTGATGAAATTGTGTGCTTTTTCTGTAAAGATGAGCACACATTACTGTGGCAGCTTCTAGGTTAAGGATACAAGTCAATATTAATGGAAGTAAATATAGATAATTTTTTTTATTTTTTTTTTTTTTAGATTGGAAATGTTTTGAGAACTGGAAGTCACATTGCCTGAGCCTTAGTATGTTATGTTATATAGCTATAGTGTCTGTTCGTGTTGGCCAACTGCTTATTACTTAATCATAGAATCACAGTGTGGTTTGGGTTGTAAGGGACCTTAACAATCATCTAGTTCCATGACCCCTGCCACGGGCAGGGACACCTTCCACTAGATCAGGTTGCTCAAAGCCTTGTCCAACCTGGCCTTGGGCTCTTCCAGGGATAAGACAGCCACAACTTCTGTGGGAAACCAGTTCTAATGTCTTACCACCTTTGTAGTGAATAATGTTTTCCTAATGTCAGCTAAAAGCCATTATCCCTTGTCCTATCACTCCATGCCCTTGTAAAAAGTCCCTCTCCAGATTTCTTGTAGGTTTAATACTATGTGTTAGGAAATACTGTATGCTTACTGACAAAAAAACAAAACAAAACAACCAACCATAAAACCCCCACAAACCCCAAACTAAACCAACTTGCCTATAGATCCTTTTGATTCAAAAGTTCTAAAACCTGGAAAATTGTTTCTCAAGTATGCTTTTCCCTGTGGTTACATATATACTGTTAAACTGTTCCCCTTGAGTTTTAACAGTTCTGTAGGATGTAGTTACGAGTTAAAATTACTGGATTGATGCATTACTAATTGTAATTTTTTCAGTTGATAGAAGAGGATGTCTTTGTGGTTTGTTTTTTTTTTTGTTTGTTGGTTTTTTTTTTTTTGTGTTTTTTTTTCCCAGTCAAATGGTGTTGAAATACAATAGTTTGAGGGTTTAACTTAACACTTCAGCTATGGGTCTAAATCAGCCATCTGAAATGTGTGGTAGATTTCTGTTTCATGGTACTAATGTGAGCTAGTTTAAGAGTAGCTTGTATGCAAATCAGACACTACTACAAATATTTTGTTCAACTTCCATATATCTTACTTAATGTCAGCTATCTGTGAGCCAGTTTTGCTTAGTAAATGCATTCATCATCTGTTCATGCCTTAGCTTGGGGTTCTTGTGTTCTTGAAAGGTGTTGCTCAAAGAGAGGGTTACCTATCTAAGTTCAGCTAATAATACAGAATTTGTGTTTTGTTTTCAGTCTTCCATACAATGAGTTCTTCGGTGGTGTAAGTGGCCTGACAGTAGAGCAATTCAGGAAAATCAATGGGTTTCCAAATGCCTTTTGGGGATGGGGTGGAGAAGATGATGATCTTTGGAACAGGTGAGTGTTCAGTGCTTACGTCTTTCTCATTGTTCTGTACAATCCACTCTTTGAGAGCTATTAGGTGTTGGGATTTTTTTTCTGTCAGATGTTACCTTTTTAAAATTTGTTTTAGATGAACAAATTCTAACACTTCTAAAGAGTTCACTTTAAAAATATCAGAATATACCATTAGAAGAGATAAGTATGATGTTCTTTTTTTCTTGGCGTTGGCTTTTAAGAGTGACATCTTGTAACAAATAACAGAGTTAACAGTAGATACCAGTATTAAGCATTTATTCTTATTCCTTCTAGTCTCCTATGCACTGTGTTTTGATTTTAATTTCCATCTCTCTTGCTGCTGGCATTATGGAATACCATCCCACAGACATGAAGAGTAAGCGTGAGGAGCAGTGTTGGAGACAGAGGCTAATTTGTGACTATATTGATATTCACAAATTGGACAATGGACAGCAATTATTGCTAACTGCTCACAGTAAACAAGTGTAAAATGTTCCGGTTGAGCTGTTGAAACCTAGTAACTGCATAAGTTTATATGTAAAGAGATATTTTAAAGGAAGAGTTTATAGGTTTTTATTCTTTTTTCCTGACTATTTTAATATTTTTATGCAGTTGTGCTTTAAGAACAAAGCAGAAATACTAAATATGAAATAATAATAGTTATAATTATTACTATTATTTCACACTTCATTGTTTTTTGCCAGTTTTTGTAGTTGTTGGGTTAAGAGTGTTTTGGTATTTTAGGGAGAGGATGTCAGTGAATGCAAAGACTAGCTTTAAAAGATTTGATGCACATTTTTCACTTTTGTTGTAACTTTTAAAACTGTCTCTGATACACTTCAGAAAAATGTTTATGTATTGTACCACAGGGTTCACTATGCTGGATACAATGTAACAAGACCAGAAGGAGATTTAGGGAAATACAAATCCATTCCTCATCATCACAGAGGTGAAGTCCAGTTTTTAGGACGGTAAGGGAAAAGGAAAACTGTTCAAATGCTAGAGCTAAAGACGTAAAACTTGTCTTGCTCATGTATAAATCTTCCACACATACAAATAAACAGTCAGTGCTTATCAGCATTATTCCATCTTTAATGCTAAACTTTGTGTTTTCTTAAACACAGTTTGCTGTTCAGATATTTCTTATTTAACCATGAGAGAGACTAAGTTTGTGTGTCAGAAGGTATTAATCATCGTAATCTTTGATGCAGAATGCTACTGTTCCTTAATATTTTGGGCATTAGTGCTGGCGGGGCTCCATTAGCTGGTTAATTTGGATATTCTGCAAAAGAAAGCAGTGCATCTAGGGAAAATCACTCCTGCATGAAAACAGGCTTTAAAATGCCTCAAGGATTGGTTTCTTACATCATATTCATTCTTTTCTGAGCTACTTTCTTTTCATTTCCTGCTTATATTGACATGAACATTTTCTTCTGGGTTTTCTTTCTTTTGCTACAAAGATGCAAAAGCCACTTTACTTGGCCGGTAGGTTCTGGCTGCTCTACCTTGAAATAGCAAATAGAATGCAGCAACTGAGCTACACCTAAAAATTAGTATGTGAAAAGCAAGATAAAGGGCTGTTTTCAGCTAATTAGAAGTACTGCTCAGTTCTGTTAACGAGGGTGTTCTTTTCTGGGAGCATCTTTTTTTTTCTGTTTTATTCACAAACTAAAAAAAAAAAAAAAACCCAAACAAAAAATGACATGTACAATAGACATGAATAAATATCTGATATGGAATTAAAATCATATATATGTAAGCTGGGGAAGGGGAACTCTGGGGTTTTTTTTAGTCACCTCAAATTTGCAAATGCAGGAGCCTCAAGAATGACATGAAGAACAATTCCAACTTTTAAGCATATAATGCTGAACAGTGACGGTTCCTAGATATTCTCTGAGCTCTATAGTTGAGCGAAAGAACATGAAGAAATTGAATGTTCTTTAAAAATCAGTTTTGTTTAGGACCATTAAAAGTACACATATTGAATTCCTTCTTTGTTTTTTAGTCTTAATGTTAACTTGTATATGTGAATATAAAATATCATTGTATTAAAAAAAACAGAAAGTGTCTTCTTTGAAAGCTTAGGTAGGCAATTTTGTAATTTCAAGGGCTGAGAGGTAGTTTCATAATTTAAAGCATATTTCAGAATTAAATGAATGTTACAGTATCATGTCTAACATCAGTTGAATTGTCTTGCAAGTTTCTCATGTTTTCTTCTTCCAATTCCCTCTGCAGATATAAACTTCTGAGGTATTCCAGAGAACGTCAGTATATTGATGGGTTGAACAATTTAATATATACTCCTAAAATACTTGTCAGTAGATTATACAAAAATATAACTGTTAATCTCATACCAGAACTTGCTCCTGTTAGAGACTATTGATGAAAGTGGAATGACAAGCTACCCTACCAGAATAAACTTTTAACACTGGAAGCTACTAACAGACACTGTAAAACAAAACAAAACCAACAAGCAGCATCTTAGAATTAGAGATTTTTGACCATTTGATAATGCATATTAGCCATGAGAAGTGATTGTATGTACCATGCATTTTGTTCAAAAAGGAAAGGCAGCAGCTACCACTCAGATGTTTACAGCATGAGACTACTGTTCAAGCCTTCATTCTTCATATTCTCTATCTTAACTACTCAACTAAATAAACTGCAGAAAACAGACTTGTAGCTTTTCTGGAAGTAGGGACAGAGGCCTCTTCCAGGAATTTTTTATACTAAACTGCCTTCCCCCCCCCCCCCATATTTAAATGAATGCTTTTGTTTCTTTTTAAAATGTGTTTTGTAAATATGTGATGTAAATGAATGTGTGTACATTGCTTTTAAATTGCTCAATATTTTATGCTTCAGTATGTATTTGAGTGTGTTCTTGTTTGAATTCTATAGGAATGTTTTTATTAGCATGAAAGAACAAGTGTAAAATGTAAGTATGCTTAAAAAAAGGTTATACCTTATGTGAAATGAAGGAAATATTAATTGTTGGCCAGCTATGACTGTAAACTGTTATACTAGTTTTGAGCTCTAGGCCTCCTGCATATCTGTATAGAAAAATCAATTTCGTATATGAACGTGCTAGAAAGAAAGCTTTTAATTTTATTTATTGCCAGCAAAATTGTATAATACCCTGCCTGCCATCTAAATGCTATTTATATGCATATTGCATGTGTATCACAGAAAATCTTGCAGTTGTTGAGTTTTATGATCTACAGGAACTGTTTCCAAGTGTGCCACTAGTGTCAATGTCAGGGATTTTAATGCCTAAAACAGTGTGTCTGGGTGCATACAGTATTTTGGTATTGTTCTTTTTTTTTTTTTTTTTTTTTTTTTTAAAGAAGAGTCCTAGTAAACAGCACTTTTATTACTCCAAAATCAGAAGAGCCAAAAATGTGTCTTCATTGGAAGAATATTTAATTTAGATTTTTAAGAAAATAGTAAAACATAGTTCTAATAGTTCTAACGCTTGTATTGTGGGATTTTCAGAGCCACGGTGTTGGTCACACTGCTCCGCTGCTGATGATGTGATGACCTAAGCGGAACTGAAAGCTGGCCAAATCCAAGTGCTTTTTAAAATTCCACTCATAATATATTAATCAATATAGCTATTTAAGGGCCTATTCTGGTAGAGTGCTGAGTGCTTCTATGATGCACTGAGTATCCTCAAGTCGATGACTTTCAATGAGATTGAGGTTGCACAGTCCAACTAAGGATTGGTCCTTTGTGTTTCTCTATTTTTTTGTGGTGTTGTATGTATAACTAGCCCCTTGCCTTGGCTTATAATGCAAAACGTATCTTCTTATTTTCTGTTTCCTTGTAATGTTATGCTACCTAAAAGTATCCCATTGCTAAGCATTATTATCTTTTTCCAATATTTTTTTACATCCCTTGTTAATACTAAGAAAAAGGACTGGATCATTTATTTTCTATGTTAATGCAAAGATATTGACCAAGATCTACTAAGCTGTTTTGTTTGTCACAGTTACTCAGCTCTTTAGGAACCAAAGACTGACTTCTGCTCCCATGAAGAATGGAAAGCAGTATATAATAAGGATTGTTTATCCATAGAGTGTTCTGTAAGAGTGTTGACAAAGAATATTAACTTTAACTCATTACTATGTGTGTTGGTTTCCTGAATTGCTACCACAGATGGTGTGGTGCTTTGTATATTTGAGTTTGTTTGCCATAAACACCTTTTATTTTTTGACATCCCAGCAGCAAATTTTGCCCTTAGCCATTCTTCAGTAAAGTTATGAGCTTAGTTGTAGGCATCCCAAATATTTAGTAGAAATGTGATGATTTAAGTAGTTGAGAACAGTTGTAAGGGATATTTTAAACCATACTGGAATTACCTTGAAATCTACCAGTTAATCTAGTACCTTGAAATCTACCAGTTAATCTAGTAAGTTTTAGGAATGATGTAATGCAATAAAAATAACGTAAGAGCATAAAGTGAACAAAACATCCTTCAAAAGCATGCTTAAGTGGTTTTATCACTTTCTGATACATTTTTCTATAACTGAGTGTATAGAATATCCTGAAGCATCTAGATAAAGGTGAGATAATACACTGTATGAACAATTATATCTTCAAAATAAAACTAGTCTTACTTTATAGCAGACTAATACAATTCTTTCAGGACTGTTGAATAAATTTTTAAATCCCTGATGTAATTTGAAGTGATTTCTGGTTTTCCGTATTAGTTCACCTACAGTTTAACACCTATGGTTATGAAACATCCTTCGGTACTGTAGGTCTGTACTGTTTTCTGAAGCATGCTTTTGTGCCCATTTGTTAGGCATTCTGTGAAATTACTGTGCAATCTTTAAAAATTCTAAAGCGTATATATGTATATATACATACTATATTACACATATGCTATGGCTGAGCTAATATAACTTTACAGGTCCAAGTGATTAATCGTGTATGGTCTCAAAAAAATGTGATTTAAACCAGTATGTGAATGGATTATGACATATAGCTGAGTTCCTAAAATGTTTTCAATTCGATGCTCCAAAGTGATAGATGTTAAATTATGAATTGTTAACCAACATTCTTCTCTAAATACCTTTTATCACTTTGCTGGGAGCTTCTAAAAGTTGCCATGTTAAATTACATCAAAATAGTGTTTGTATACTACCTGCTTGAACTCAGTACTATTCTGTAGTGAATTTTAACATAGACAGTGCCTTCAAACAAAATAAATGTGATGCAGAACTATGAGTTGTGCACATTCCTTTTGATATTTTCATGGTTCTTGTAAAATGTAGAGAGAAGCCGATCACATTGCCTTTTGCATTGCTTTCAAGGCAAATTAAGCATGTCTTCCCTTCAAGGAGTGAGCATGGAGGGAGAAGAAAGAGGGAGTATTTTACAAGACCCTGAAGGTGTTGCAAATTAACAAGTAAAAATGTTACAGAAACACTAACAGTGGAATCTGGTTGATACGCTGTTGTACTCTTCAGTCCATTTGCTGTATTACAAATTAAAGGAGAATATATAGAATAAAATCAATTTTGCAATAGACAGTATATGGAAAAGCAAGTGCAAAATGTCCTTTTTCTCGGATCTTGCCAGTCTATTTTTCTATCATTATGTTTACTAATGACTTTGTTGTAGTGGGTAACTAATGAGCCAGTTATTTAAAAATATTAAAACGATCCATTGTATATCAGCAAGAGGAAGTGTACTTAAGATTATTTTATTTGTAGAGGTGTGTAAGATAGTCTTAATGAACAATGCACTAAAACAAATGCTGGGAATTTCCTGTGTACTATCATAGTTTTGTTTTTTTTGTTGTTGTTCATGCAAATGTTTGTACTTTTTTATCATTGTCTTTTATGAAATATAATGTTCTAAAGATTGTGTTGGCTTGTTTATTCTGAGGTTCTGTGGAGAACTATCTTCTTTGAGTTTTATTTATAGACAAAGAACTCATTATTCTAGTGCTCAGTCCCTTGAAGTAACAACAAAAGGAACACCTGGCCAGCAGACATATCAGGTTAGGCAGTGATGGGATCAAGCCATAGGCTAACAAATTGGTTTCCCTTTACTGGTATTTATATGCATTCAGCTTCTGGTTTTATTAGGATAAATGACTCATGCTTTTCCAGTGGCTCTCCTAATGGCTCTCTAAGTATTTCTGTTTAGGAATAATCTTCCTTATTACAAGAATGGGAAATAGCAGTATTCATCCCTATTTCTCCTGACATTAAACAGGGAGCTGCTTTTCTCAGGAATCATCAGTTATCCTTGTTTTTCTTTGTATCTTATAGCTATTACAAAAGTGTCTGATGGTTAGAGGTATGCAAGTAATTTTTGGGAGTACTTTATCTGGGGTCAAAGGTATTTGCAGAATTTTATGAAAGTACACATATAAACTTATTAAGTATGTTTGATGTATGTACTTTTCTGCAGCACTGGATATGGACTCTTCTTGAAAGAATCACCAGTTACAATATATTGGAAAGCAGGAAAGAAGGCATTTTAAGTATGTGTAACATCCTTAATTGATATTCTACTTTGCTGTCTCTTTTAAGCTGCTTTTGCTTCTATATCTTAAAAATCAGAATCTGGTGATTATGTGGCATCCTGATGATTATGTGGCATCCCATGCAACTTCATCTATTGTGGACTTCAGTGATAAAGTGTAGATGATGGTAGGTGGTAGATTGTGTTTCCTGTGGACTTGCTTTTCATGAGACCCCTTTCAGGTGCGTTTTGTCCTCTTCCTTTGCAAGAAGGAGTATAGTTAATTAACTTCATGGAAGACCTTGATTTATTCTTAGTGTCTCAGTAATGGAGTTTCAGTACATTTTTTTCTAAGCTTAATGTGTTTTTTCAAACCCTAAATTTTTATTCAGAAGAACAATACTTACAGAATACAGAAATAAAAGACTACTTTTATTCAGAAGAGTATTTGAAAACAAAATTAATACATATTTCTCCTAAAATTAACAAAGTGAGAAAACAAGTAATTTACTGTTGATACAGTCAGAAACTAAGTTCTTACCATTGATGGAATCTTTAATTTACACCTCTAAATTGCCATCCTTAATATTTGCTTCTATTCCACTGGCTCACTAACTACTGCTGTAGTTGAGTAAGAAAAGGGACTGAGGAGAACAACAATGGAGTAATGTCGATAACTACCATCATTAGCTGTAAACACCATCTGGAAAAAGAAAAAAAACATACAAGATAAATGAGAAGTGATCTCTAGCTATGAGCCTATATGGAACCATTGTAATCATTTTATCTAACCTCTCACAAAACTTTGAAAAGACCTTCTCTTGTGACTTGATCACAGTGATTGGTGACTGCCTGTCACACAGTTTTTCCATGTTAAATATCATAGAATCATAGAACCATAGAATAGTTAGGGTTGGAAAGGACCTTAAGATCATCAAGTTCCAACCCCCCTGCCATGGGCAGGGACACCTCGCCCTAAACCATATTACCCAAGGCCTCGTCCAACCTAGCCTTGAACACTGCCAGGGATGAAGCATTCACAACCTCCCTGGACAACCTATTCCAGTGCCTCACTACCCTAACAGGAAAGAATTTCCTCCTTATGTCCAATCTAAACTTCCCCTGTTTAAGTTTTAACCCATTATCCCTTGTCCTACCACTACAGTCCCTAATGAAGAGTCCACCCCCAGCATCCCTATAGGCCCCCTTCAGATACTGGAAGGCTGCTATGAGGTCTCCACACAGCCTTCTCTTCTCCAGGCTGAACAGCCCCAACTTTCTCTAGCTTTTCCTAAAAGCATCCCTGTCACATATATTATTTAAAATTTCATCAAATATATTTATTATCTAAATAAGGGTTTCCTTGTTGGTACTCACAAATGGTTCCTTACTGAACCCATTGACTGTCTTTATTAAAAATGGAAAAATAAAAAAAGGCATTCTTTCAAGTATTTGAAGTATTTGACTGTTTTTGTTGCTCTTATGAAGTCCTGAGCTTTGAGGAACGGAATTAAACATAGTGCTACAGTCACTATCATCAGGCTAAAATATGAAGCAATTAGTTTTTTTACATATCCAGTAGATAGAGAAGGACTGCATTAGTCCTTTGGCCACAACAAGGTAATAACATTATATATGAATGATTTATAATCGTCCTTTTAACATCTTTCCCAGCGTATGTCCTATACTTTGATTTCTCCTTTTACATAGCCATTTATTTGTGTGAGATGATGGGTGTCAACTTTTAAAATAGTCTGATAATTCTGTGGTGCACAGCTTCTGCTCCTTTCAACATTAATAAAAAAGATAAATATGAAACAACCAGTGAACTGAGCAAAACATGATGTTCCC